AAAAATAATTAGATCAGGGCTGAGGTTGTGGCTCAGCCACAGAGCCCTTGCCTAGCACATGCGAGGCCCTGGGTTTGATCGTCAGCACCACATAAAAATAAATAAATAAAATAAAGGTATTGTGTCCAACTACAACTAAAAAATAAATGTTTTTTTAAAAAATAGATCAATGGTAATCAAACAGGAAAACAGAACAAGACAAAAAATCCTCCCCCACACACACAAACCCCAGGAACGAGTAAGCGTATTTAGAAAACAAACAGAGATTTAACGCCAACTCTCCCTGGCGTTATAACTCAAATTATACTTCTAAATATTTAACATGGTAGATTCAAAACTAAATATTCAATGCCCCAGTTTTAAATTTTCTTTCAATATAATCCACGTTAATAACAAATCTTAAGAGCACTATCTGAAAATAAATCAGCTTTTTTCTAAAACTTAACATTACATTACAGATTGCATTCTGTTCCATAATTCTGATAATCTTTTTTGGTAATGAAACAAGGCCTTAAGATGATTCATTTCTTGGGAAATCTTAATGGCAGTCACTCAATAAATTCAGTCATTTTTGAAGTCACAAACACTCAAAACTGTTGTTGGCAATGACCAAGTTTCTGGGGTCTTTTTTTTTTTTTTTTTTTTGGTGGTTATTGCTTTAGTTGGCAATATCTAAATTTAAGACAAAGAACATCTCCCATTAAGCCTTCCATGAAATATTACAAAATTCATACAGAAGATAGACTCATAGAGGCTAGCTATAAAGCTGGTGTTTTAAATAACTCATCCTTGAAATGGGTGCAATGTTTAGAGGATATCCAATAACTTTTTTGCTCTAAAATATACGCCCCTATTTTTCAATGTTCCCATTCAATAGGAGATTTGAGAAGCTTAACAGTTTTGCTATAAAAACTCACTATTCTTAACAAATCAAAACGTAAAAGGAAACCAATAAAGGACATATTTTTCACAGTTCACAATAAGTAAAAGTGCACTAAGTGTTTAAAAACTACATGTGACTATTTGGCATAGGTCATCTTTTAAAGGCTCTTGGAGGATCCCTGACATTACTTATTGTGGTCATGACTGTTTGATTATTAGCAGCTCCTGGTAGCTGTGGATTGATAAGTCCCTGGATATTGCTTCTACCAGCATATGAAAGTTGGTATTCCCTTGATTCAGGGCCAGTTTGAAGGCCATTTCCCACTGATCCAAATGTACCTGTACCTGTTACTATTCATGGAATCAGTCTTCTGTTCACTGTGAGCCCCTCTGTTCTGCAGTCCTTGATAATCTGGGCTGGGCTCACTGAAATTTGGCACTTCTGAATAAACCATACAAATTCTCCAATTTTCTGAAGTTTGCTGCCCCTCCCAGTACAAAGCATCAGACATCCTTTCCACATGGATGTGTATCCCGGGTCCACAGACACTATCCCCTGGCTGAAGGAGACCGCCATCCCAGCCCACACGGAACAGTGACGCTGCCCGTTTTATCTGCTGCTGTGCGCAATCTCACTTTAAGGCTGTCTTGGGTTATCTCCAGGAAAATGAAGATGACATTTAAGTTTTTCAGTCCGGGGTTAATATCTTTTATAAAAAGAGGTGGGCTGTTGACCCCACTCATACAGAGCAGTGAGCGGGGACAAGGCTTCCTACCTTCTCAGGTCCGGGGCAAGGGTGGAGGGACAACTGGGGCTGGGGTGGCCCAAGGAGAATTGTTGGGTTTTACGGTGAATTTAGTTTCTGAGGAACTGTCATTCTGCTTTTCACATCCCCTTCCCACACAGGGGTTCAAGTTTCTCCATGTTCCCTCTCTTGCTTCACAGTAGTCGTCCTAATGGGCATGAGGTGGTGTCCCTGGATGCTTTTAACTAAGATTTATAATCATGATCTAATCAATTTTTTAAAAAGACTGGTCCTACTGCCGTGTGGGAAAGCCACTAAGGGTGGGTAAGCAGGAGGGACGTACATAAAGGACCTGCTCAGAATCTGCATGGAAGAGGGGAGAGACAAAGAGCAGGTGGCCTGAATGATGCGGGTGGGTGGTGTGGAAGTCTGAGGAGTGAGTCCAAGGTGGTTACTGCTGACTAAACAAATCAACACAATAGGGGTCGTGGGCAATTCCTAGTTCAGTTAATCTTTGATGATGGTGAATTTATAGTGATGCAAAGCTTCCTCCAGAATCCTGAGGTCAAAAAGGATGGGGAAAAAGTTGTTCCTAAAATGGAATAACTTCAGTACACTGATTTAAAAAAAACAACAAATATTAATCTAAGTTTTGAACATAATACTTTTGACTGCATACATTCTCGATGGGAAACAGTCAAAGAACAAAAAGAACTGGGAAGAAGTCACATCTGGATCTGTACTTAGTAGGCTTACTCTTGGTAGACAGTGGTAGGCAGTTCAGAAACTGCAAATTTTTGGATCAAGTGAATGAGTAAATAAATTGATGCTGTTGGGAATCAGAGTTCTTGCTACAGGAGAAGGGAAATATAAGTTTGGAATAAGAGAAGAATCATGTGATGTTAGATTTAAAACAGAGTTATCAGTTTGAACTCAAAATCTAATGAAAAAATGATTCCTGGGCTCTGTTCACTCAAAGGGCCCAGAAGCTGTGACACCTTCATATTAATGAGCATGCCTGAGGCCCAGACTTTGGTTTTTAAATACTATTCTCCACTAAGAGAAATTAAGGCTCTCAGGGGAATGGCTGATTCCCAGCCATAGGCAAGGCAAGCACAAGGTACACTTAGAACATCATATTCTGCCAGAAAGTAGAAAATGCTCAAGGATGTTGTCAAAAGGATAATGGAGGCAGCTTGCAGGGACTCCCACTCTGGGACAACTTAAACATTCAAAGACTGATAAAAAAGAATCCAAATCCACCAGTCCATACTGACATTTAATAAACTAAAAATAATGGGGCAGGAAAAAAAATGGTAACTAAAAATGTAGAAAAAAAATGATAGACATAGAAAATGACTATTTTACAATCATCTCTGTAATAACGGATGCAGGCAAAAATCATATATAGATGTTGAATCACTGGGCAAAAGACCATCAGGAAACAGAACATCCATAGGCTGCTAGCAGGATCCCAGATTATTAAACACAGATGCCCTATGGCACAGAAATCTGGTGGACACTGTCTTCACACATGATCAAATTTAAGAACACCAATGATAAGATAGACTGGGTCCCGGATGTGAAGCACTGAGGAGGATGCGGCTCACCTGTGAACTGTTGTTCTCAGCAATGTTCAACCTGAATCTAACGATGCAGAAACAACTGGATGAAGCCAATCATATGGAAACGATCTGCACATTTTGCACAACCAATCTTGAGTCTTCACAACTGTCAACATGAGGGCTGGGGGTAGGTATGTCTCAGTCTTAGTGCACTTGCCTGGCATGTGCGAGACTCTGTGATTCAGTCCCCAGCACCGCAAAAAACAAACAAGTTATATACATACATTTTGTGTGTGTGTGTGTGTGTGTATGTCTTGAAAAGCAACAAAGGGAAAGTCTAGGAAACTGCTGGAATAAAGGGAAGTAAAGAGACATGAAAATGCAAGGTATGATTTGGGGATGGATGGATATGGGAAAACTAAAGGAGCAGCTACACAGGACGCTGTTGGGATGACTGTGGGAATCTGATCTTGGGCTGAGTATTAAATGACAGCATTGTGTCAGTGCTGCACTTCCAAGTGTGAAGACAGTATTAAGGTCAGGTCAGAGGATGCCCTGTAAGAACAACGAGATACACGCTGCAGTGTGCAGGGATAAAAGTTCATGACATCTGCAAATCATTCTCAGATGGTTCAAGAACAACAAAAAAATTTAAGAAAATTAAGCAAAAGTGGCAAGACATTAAAAATTGGTGAATCTAAGTGATGGGCAATTGGGTGTTCACTGAGTATTGTTGCAAACCATTTCTTCTGTGGTGCTGCACATTTCAAAATAAAAAAGTTTAGGATTTAGAATGAGAAAACAAGCCACAGTCTGGGAGAAAATATTTGCAAAACACTTGTCATATAAAAGACTGTTAACCAAAGTATACAATGAACTTCTAAAACGACCCATTTAAAAAGTGAGCAAAGGATCTGCCCAGATACTACATTAAAGAAGAAATATGAACAGCAAATAAGCATAAGCAAAGAAACTTCCCAACATGTCTCTAAGAAAATGAAAATTAAACAATGAGGTACCACCGTTAGACTGGCCTAAATCTAAAACACTGACAAATCAGACGCTGGCAAGGGTGCAGAATGACATGAGCTCCCGCCTTCATTCCTGGGGGGATGCAATGGTGCAGCCACTTTGGAAGACAGTTTGCATGGAATCATATTCCAGCTGCACGACCTTCTGAAAAGGCAAAACTATGGAGACAGTAAAAAGACCAGTGGTTGCCAGGGACTGAGGGAGGGGAAGGAACACGCAGAACACAGGGTTTTTATGGAAGGGAAACTACTCCACGTGATACTGCAGTGGTGGTGACAAGGCATTACACACCTGCCCAAACCCTCAGAATGTGTAACACCAAGAGTGAGCCCTCATGTGGACGCCATGATGTGGGATCATGATCTATCACATAGGTTCACTGACTATAATGGAGGCATTGTTCTGGTCCCAAAAGAAGAGGGGGGAGGCCCAGCGTCTGTGGAGTGGGGGTTCACGGGAACTCTGATCAGGCACAGGTCCTGCAGGAAGCCTACTCCCGACTGAGCCAATGGCCTGGCCCCACCTTTACTCTGGAGCCACTGAGCACTGTGGACTCCTGACTGCATCATTTTATTTCATGGGGCATTTCCTACGTGAATCCTGCCTTTAACAGAAACAAAAAGCAAACAAAAACCAGAAAAGAGAGTTGAGAAGTGTTTGTGCCAAGGAGTGAAAAATTTTGTTAATCTCCCTTGAATCTCTGGACGCCAAAACCTCATTCTTTATTTCTTGCCATTGGTTCTCAGTTTGGAAAAAAGACATCATTTAGAAGTACCTGTGGAAGTCACGCAGGTCTTCTGCACTGATATAATCATCCAAGTTCAGGGTCAAGTCTGCCACCTGCTGCGAGCCATATTCCTAGAAAAGTGAAATAGAAAATGAGAGATGGGGTATTTCTGGGCTAATGAGTGCATGGGTGGGAAGAACAGCATACAACCTAAAAAATACAGATGTTCAAAGAGACACTGATGAGGACTCTTTGTAATACATGACACAGTCTTCTAATGCTTAGGGACTTCCTTGATATAGAAATACTGCCTTTCCAAGGCCAGACAATCTATTTCCCAGGTTCTTTTGCAGACAGGATGCAGGTATGTAATTTTCTGGTTTGCAACTAAGAACCTTGTCTGATACAAGATCTAAATGTTTGTCAACAGGGAAAGGATAATGGAATACTATGTAGAAGTTAAAGCAAATGAGGTATACCTATGTGTGTTCCCAGGTGAAGGCCTCCAAAACAGAGTGAGAAAAGCAAACGGCAGCAAATCACATTCTGCAGGATACCTTACAACACACGGACCACAAGACAAAACTTAACAAAAAGCAAGCTACTGCCCTCGTGGTGCTTCAGTAGCAGCTCACTGACATTAAAGTAAAGCACCAGTAAGGACACAATCACAAGCTGGCACGAAAATAAAATGATGAAGTAGAGAAGCAGGATTTAGATTTTTCTGGCAGGTGGGGTGGGTAGTAGGAATGTATTTCTGAGTAAGTGACAAAAGAGGGGGAGTCAGGCAGACTGAAGAGAAGGCGGAGGCTGCGTATGTACGTGAGGTGGCAGATGGGAGAGGGTGGGGATTACAGCACAAGAAACATCAAGTGTACAGGTTCCAAGGCAGCAAGAACGCTGCTCGCTTACAAAGCTAAAAGCAGCCCACTGGGGCTACAACAGCCTTTCTTCCTGCATTGTCCCTGAATGGCTTGTCTTGATTTCTTTAACCTGTGGATTTCTTTAACCTTTAACCTTTAACCTCCTTTATAATCCAGGCAGCGACCATCTTTGTGCACAAAGCATTTCTATGTTTAGGGTTCTCACCTCAGGATAAAGCTCTTGAAGTAGGTCACTGGGCAAAGGCTTCAGGGACACTTACAGCTCTGCAGTCACTGTTAAATGGGTTTTAGAACAGCCACCCCAATACCCACTGCCATCCGCAGACCCCACAGGTCTGAGACTCACCAGCACATTGATGATCATGCTGGTCTCCATGGTGATGGCTTTCACAAGGAGCTTCCTGGAGCCATCCTTGGACTCATACCGGAGGGCATACAGGTCTTTACTGTTGTTCCACCCAGCTGGCAGCAGCTCTGACTTCTTATCACTGGGACCTGGCTGAGAAGACATTGGGATTGAGGAGAAAGATCATGACCTCAGAACAGGGACCTACAAAGAATCTTACAGATAATCTATCAGCACCTCTCACTTCACAGACAAGGCTACGGAGGTCAAGAGAGTGACCTGTCCAAGGTCACGCACCAGTTAGAGGTCTGGGGCCCAGGTATCTGGAATGTTCTCTCCCCCCTGGCTGTCTTTATGACACAGCACTGACACCTGTCAAGAACCTGCAATCTCAGTTTAATAATCATCTCCCTCTCCATCACTGCCAAGAATAAAGTTAATTAACTTAAGGGACACTGTGGAATTCTAAAGCACTGATTTTCAGGGTTTGGACCTTGATCTATGTGCCACAGGGTCACCAAAATGTTGACTAAAAACACCAACTGTTTAACAAAAGTTACAGATGATTTTCACATATACCTAAAATGTAATATACATACAAGAATTTAAAAATTACAAAGTGGAGGGCTGAGGTTGTGGCTCAGTGATAGAACACTTGATTGCCTAGCACATGTGAAGCACTAGGTTTGATTCTCAATACTGCATAAAAATAAATAAAGGTATTGTGTCCATCTACAACTAAAACATATACATAATATATATTTAAATACATATATATATATATATATATAAATACATATATGGGGGTAGAGAGAGAGAGAGGGAGAGAGAGAGGGAGGGAGGGAGGGAGGTGTATGCGGCTACAAATTGCTTAGGAAAAAGAACATTGCAATCATCACAAAAGCCTTGGGTAGCAAATCCCCAAATTCTTCTTTCTTTCCCTTCAAGAGTAATACTACTCTGTATTTTTAAAAAACTTTTTTTCTCACTTTTCCTATAAGTTGTATTACTATACATGCAACCATAAAAATACAGTTTCCAATGTTTCTAAATTTAACACAAACAGCATCACTTCCACCAGTTGCCATTTTCACGTGAAGAGATTAATCCCTGCCAGTGCTTCAGTGTTTTTGCTATAGCTGATTCACATTCACCACTATGTGGCGCTCCATTGTGCGAATGGGCTTCAAGACTTGCTCACTGGCTGGTGGAGACAGACAAGTTTCCAGTTCACTTACTTTGCTATTATAAATAATGCTATGAACATCCTGGACACACCTGACACACATTTGAATTAATTTCTATGCCTGGAGGTAGAACCTTCTATTGATGAGATAAAATCAAATTGTTTACCAAAGAGGTGCTGATGTCTACTGCCACTAGCCCGGAGGGAGAGCCCCTGCTGTTGCACCTGGTCAGCAACACTGCTTTCATCTGACTTTTTCATCTTCCCACCTCACTGGTGTAAAATGCATCTACTGTGAGTTATGATGTTTCTCCTTTCTTTTCCTTTTTAGATAACCTAGAACTTTATTTTCACACACTAAAGTTTGAGAAATAGTTAACTAATTTCTACAGTAAAAATGAACCGTGATTTCTGGGGGCAAGGGGGAGATTTCTTAACAAGATCCATACAAGATAAAAATACCGCCATTGGAACTGCTGATAATTTACAGCTTCTGCTCAACAACAGGCAATATGAAGTCAAGACAGTCACGGCTAGGAAAAGACATTTGCTAGGCTGCAGAAAAACGAAAAGTCAGGCTGAAACAATGAGATAGCAGGGTTACACACACCTGTCAGACCGGTGTTACCCATTTGTTATTTTTATTTTTTTACCAGACTTGTATGGGAGACCTCCAGGCACTGCTGGTGAGCATTTAAACTCCTTTAGGGAGTTTTTAAAATTTAAACAGCCCCTTTAGGGAGCAATCTGGTAGTATTTAGTAAAATTAGGTGAGTCAATATCCCATAACCCAAATTCCCTACTTCTGGAAGAACCCTGTGCAGAGATAGGACAAGGGATCTTCATCACAGCCTTAGCTAGGACAGCCAAGGAGGAGGTAAAAGGCAAAATACACTTACAGTGGGTTACTCTCAGCAATCAGAATGAGCAAGGTAGATCTAATTGTAGTATTACTAATCAAAGTAAAAAATATGATTTAAAATCCAGAAAAAATGAGATTTACAGACCAGCACCATTAGTATAAACAATTTAAAAAGCACACAGAAAATGATATATGTCTTTTTTAAAAATTTCTTTTAGTTGCAGGTGGACATAATACCCTTAATGTTTATTTCTATGTGATGCTGAGGATCGAACCCAGTGCCTCACATGTGCTAGGCGAGCGCTCCACCACTGAGCCACAGCCCCAGTACCAATGTACATCATTTTATGGATGCATATTTATATTGCTCAGCATGGAGCAGGCAGTCTGGGAAGATCTGTATTAATAAAAGTATGATGGGAAGGAATGGAACCAGAGAAGAACACCAGCAAAGGCCAGAAACGCAAAACTCGACACGCACTAAGGACAATAGGAGGCCACAATCAAGGACTGCTTAGGTTCTCTTCTTTGGTCACCCTGGTGCTCAGGAATTCATTAGGAGGAGTGGTCATAAGTCAAATTCAGGATGTCGCAATTGGCAGTGGTTTAAGAACTGGCTGGATGACAAATCAATTCATACTCCCGAAACGAAACAGAGGGACAAAAAACAAAAGTGAAACTAACCAATCGGTCCACTAAGGGAGAAGGAGAAACCATCTCCCACTCTGAACAGAGTACACTTCCTGTTACATGTTTACTGTTGTGGGTGAAGTTTTACTTCAGAAGCCAGGGATTTGATGACATGCCTTATCTTTGCTCTGTCGAGGGGTGTTTTAATTTCTATTACGCCCTCGTATACAGCATTCGTCTACCAGAACTGGAATGTGGGAAACCTGGCTGCTCACCACCTTTGCTTCCAGAGTAAAGTCCTGGAAGAACGACGCCTCTTGCTGAAATGGGACCTATGTTCCCCAGAAAACAGAGGTGGCACTATGAGACAGGCTCTGGTGTTATCAAGCCAAACATGGCATTCAATTGCACTCGGGGCCCTCAGCTCAAATATCAAGTGTCCCAGAAAGCTACAGTTGGAATGTAGCCAAAGTGTACAGTCATGTAGTTTGACACCCTTGGATGAAAACTCTAAGACCTGGGGGAGCTGACACTCACGCAAGGTCACAGCACATGAGATATAAAGCTGGATTTGAGATTCAGAATTCTCAGCTGCCAGTCTATGGCTGGAGATTTTTCCCAGCCAGGTCCACCAAACTGGCCCCATGAAAATTTTTCTTGAGAAAAATCCTCAAAACCCCGGGGAGGAAGTATTCCTTAATAGCTGAGTGTTCACCCCAGTGCCTCTGGGCTTCAGCCAGAGAAACGAAACAGATCGTTCTGGGCATTTTCTCTTTCTTATAACCCTTAAATCCCCACAACACAACACAAAACCAATCTCTAATTTAACTCTACGGCCATCTCCATCCCCTGCCACTTAACCTGCCTGACATAGCTATAAAGCTCTCATGAGGAGTGGTGCTGAAAGAAAGAAATCCAAATTCAAATGCTGGACTTCAGTTGAGGCCAACAGAAGTGCTACTCTTCAGTCAAGTTTTACAGACCAATCCTACTGCGCCAGAGGAGGCTAAACCAAAGAGAGCAGACAGCCTTGCTCTCTACTCAACTGTTGATGTGTTAGTCAAACAGACACTCTGGGGACACTGTTTCCCTCTTATCACCCCCAGGAAGATGGGGGCAGGAGGTGACTAGAGCAGCAACACAAACATCCCCTGAACTTGGCAAACACTATGGACTCAGCCAATTCTGCTGGCTCCAGTCTGAATATTAAACCTCAATAAACTAACAGGAAAGACACTGCTCCAGATGGCTTCTGCTCTGAATATGAGTACCCTCAACCAATGTGAGCAGAGGTCAAGTGCAACCTGAGCCTGCAGCCACTTCAGGAGAAAAAGCAAAAAGAAGCACAGACACAGCAGACTCTGTTGACAGTCCCGACACTCATTCCTTTGAGGGCATGTAAGGTTGAGCGCTGAGGTGGACAGGGGGACAGTGCCTTCCAAAACTCCCATTCCCCAGCTCTTTGGCCTCCCCAGAGAAGTGTGGAGCTGACTTTTTTTTCTGGTCCGCAGGAGCTTGACCCGTCACCATTAACTGAGGAGGTAGACTTTGGGAATCTGTCACGGATCTTTTTTTTTTTTTTTAAACCACTATTGAAATGAGATTTGTTTTCACATTTCATTTGAAAATTTTGGGGGCCTAGAGTATTTTGCAAGAGGGTGATGCCAGGGAAGACACCAACCCATAAGAACTGACATCCATAACCTGGCAAAGTGACAGACACAGGCGCTGACAGGATGTGCGGGGGGACAAGTGGGGGAGCAGTTCTTCAGGGTTCATATATGCCTGTGAAGTGGTGAGCAGGGGGCCAGGTAAGCCCTCTGTGACAAGCTCTTGGTCCTGGACCAAGCTCTTGGTCCCCTGAGGAAAGGGTTATGATAGTGGGGCAGAGAACAAACCGACAGGCAGTAAGGTGGAGAGGGGCTTGAGGACAGGATGGAGCAGACCTGCTCCATCTGAAGAGTGCGACCAACGGGCAAGCTCCAGAGTAAATCCACGTCTTACTCCACACCCTGTCCTGTCCCACACATCGGCTCTCTGAAGAACTTCCCAGGAGAAGTTGATATGAAGTGACTGGGCCAAGTGAAAGAGCTGTTAAAGACTAGAAAGCCAGAGCGGAGCAAGTCAAGAGCCATAGGGTTCCTGTTGGAGGAAATGTGCAGTGAAAGGGGACCCTGACACCGGGGAGTGGGGGAAGGCAGCATCTCTCCCAGGTCCCAAGGTCTGAACTGCTGGGAGGAAGAAATGTTCCCCTGTGTGTGTGTCTGCGTGTGTGGGTGTGTGTGTGTGTGTGGTTGTTGCCGACTCTGCTTTCCCAGCCTTTTCTTCTTTAGGGGTGTGTTAGAGGGTGTGTTGTTGTTGCTGCTTGTTTCCTCCTGTAGCCCATGTAAGCCACGAAGGATGTGTGCCCTTGGAGGTAGCAGTGGGCTGCTGAGCACACATCTGGGGTCCCAGTGAAATAGCTGAGACTGGGGGCGGGAGAGACAGAACTCAATGATAGTTCCTGTGCTCTGATTCTGCTGATGGGAGTAGTGCTAAAGGGTGTGGTGGTCTTGGTCCTAGCTCTATGGGAGAGAGGAATAGAAGCAGTAGCAGTGATTCAGGGGGATATCTGGCTAAATGCTTGGAATGTGTAAAGCATTTGTGGGGGCGGGGAGGGAGGGTCCAGAAAGCTATATACCTGAGAAAGATAAAAATGGGTTCGGGGCTTGAGAAATAAAGGTAAGAAATGAGAGGAAGGTTAAAATCTCACTGGGAGACACAAGGGGTGGGGTGGCTTGCTCCTCAGAGCTGGTCTTGGTTCTGGGAATGAGAGGACTGGGGCAGTGAGGGTCAGGCCTGGAGTCCTGAGTGTCTGTGTGTATGTGGGAGTGTGGCTGGAAGGAGCAGATGGGAAACAAAGGGGCCAGGTCCAGTTTTCATAGGAAGGCTGATGTGACAGGGAAGGGACAGGGAAGGGAGACATTCGTGAGATGGGCTGAGTCCAGGTGTCCTGGGGGCTCTGTGAGGACACTCCAGCTGTTAAGAAGCAGAACCTATGGATGGGAGAACAGGAGGGGCTGACCCTGTGGGGAAAACTATAGGTAGGAATCCTAACCTAACCCTCACATCCAGGATGTATGGGTACATGTGTGTGTGAGCTGATGATGACGGGGCGACTGTGCCCAGAGCCCTTCAGTAAAAGGTAAGAGTGTGTGAGCCCACCCAAAACCTCATGTTCGGATCCAGATGTCCCGTGGAGGCTCGAGGTGGGAATGGAGGCAGTTTTGAGTCCGGCCTCCCCATCCCTGCTCCGTGACTGTGTGGCCAGAGTTTAGGGGGAGCAGGTGGGGTGAGGACTCTGGGGAGATACACCTTGTCTCGGGGTCAGATCCACAGAATCCTGGCCCGAGCGACCGCCAGGCTGAGCTGAAAACTTTCTGTCCCCCGGTTTACAAACCAGGCTGTGCCAGCTGCGCGGGGAGGGGTCCCGGGCCCCAGCGGCGTCAGGATCCCCCGGGCCCGGACCTGGGGTGACGGGCAGAGGCCAGGCGCTCGGGACGAAGTCTTTGGCCTCCGGGATTCGGCAGAAGACAGCTCCCCCCTCCCCAGCGGACGGCTCCGCGGCGTACCTGGTCGCCGGTACCCAGGCCGTAGTAGCCGTGCGTCACCACCTCCCAGTGCAGGAAGCAGACCAGCGCGTCCTGCGTGCAGGTGATGGACGGCGCCGCCGACTCGTAGAGCACCTCCAAGCCCGCCATCAGTGCGCTCGGCTCCTGCGGGCGGAAGGAGGAAGGTAACACTTCAGGGATGGCTCCGCCCACGCGTCGCTATTACTCCGCCCCGCCCTCCAGCGGCTTCTGCCGAGTTTCTCCCGACGACCCGAAGGGAGCAGTCCGGGGGCGTCAGAGCAGCCGCCGGAAGTAGTTCCCAAACGGCAGCGCAGCTTCTCTAAGAGTGCCGGGCTGGAAACGTGAGCTGGGCACTGAAGGGTTCCCAGAGGGAGTCCGCGCACGGGGCGTGCGTGGCCTCTCAGAGCCGGGATCGCGTTCTCCCCGCAGCCTGCAGGACCGCTGCGCGCTGAGCGCTGAGTCCTGGGAGAGGACACCTCGCTGCAAACTAGATTTCCCATCCGCAAAGTGGGTGGGGCTAAGCCCGGAAACAACTTAGGAAATGTGGGGAAAATTAATTTATTAGCACGTATGCAGTGCTTGCTACGAGTCACCTTATTCTAAATCCTTTTCTTGTATACATGGGTTGACCCCCACCCCGAAGTGGTAAAACCACTAAGGAAAATCGAGGTACAAAGGGACAATTTGACCTCGATGACACAGCCAGCCAGTGAAGGGCAGAGATGGTACTGGAATCTACCAGTCTGGTTCCTAGGATAGCTTTTATTATGGTGTTTGTTGGGTGCTGCATCCTGTGCCAAAAGCTTACTTTGTTCTTTCAACAAATCTTATATTCTGTTATCATCCCCATTTTGCAAGTGACAAAACTGGTCAGAGTTGAAGCTACTTCCCTAAGAAGATGGGAGCTCTGGACTATAGAACTGAAACTCCGACCCACTACCTAATTTAATCTTTTTTTAAAATACCTATCTCCTCCATGATTTTTACCACCTATTATATCTTCAACAAGTTTCTTGAAGTCCCATTATTGTTTTTATTCAAATTTATTTTTCCACATCCAGTCAGCATCATGGTTCGTGCCACCCACTGTTCTTTCTCACTTGGATGCCTGGTGTCAGCCTTTGAACAACATCCCTGTCTGCCTATAGTCTGTTTTGCACCCTGAAACCAGACAGAATCTGTTAGAACACAAGTCAGATGGTGTCCTTCCACTCAAAACCTGGCAGAGTTCCCACCAAGCTCAAAAGGAAGAGTCCTCCCCAGGGAACCTATGTATGGTCTAACCCCCACTGCCATCCCTACTGTCCTTCTGAATCAGAATATCAGTGGAAACACACCTGGAGGCTAACCTGTAGAAATATTAATAAGAACCCCATCAGGGCCTATTTCATATAAAAGATCTTGAGGGTCCCCTGGGGGAACACCTCCAAGCCATTCCTTTGTCCCTGAGGTAGAAATCAGAACACGGGGTGAAGCTGGATGGAAGTTATAGGAAGGCCATAGTCTTGGTGCTGTTTTCAATGCCTGTTTTACATCCATTTTGCTCCATGCTCTACCCAGAACTGAGATAGGGATTTAGGATAAGGGAAAAGGGAAATATCCTCAAGCCATTGCAATGCAGAATCAAGCCATTGAGATGCAGAAAACACTGTTGCAAACAGCCCATGCCCTGGCAATACAAAAGCACAGGAAAACTGGCTTCACCCTGGATCCACTTCCAGTCCAGCCCCTGAGACAGCCCTTCTATAAATATTGGACCGCAGGCCAAGTCAGGGCTGCTTCTCACTCTGCAGACTGCCTGCATTCTCCCTTATGTGTATCTACCTTCTTATATAAACCTCTGTCTGTGCCTTTATCTGGCTAGTGTTGAAATTCTTTTCCATCCTTTGGGCCCAGAGTTGAGTTTCCTCTCTCTTCTGGGAACTCCTTAGACCTGTCTCCAGGGACATCTCTTCTCCTGTGACACTGCCATACATTTTAACCTCTAAACACTAAGCAAATAGTTGTTCTACTGTATTGCTTAGGGAAAACAAGTTTGAACTTATTCTGTATGGACATAGTTTTTTCTTTTTTTCCTGGATATTTTCTATCCCCTGTTGGTTGAATCTGCAGATAAGGAATCCACAGATACAGAGGGCCAATTGTACTTCTTGCTCTGCCTACAGCACTCTTTTCCCAAACATCTTCATGGTTTGCTCCTTTATTTTAAATATGGTAGTTCCTTACCTCACTTTCTACCATCTCAGCAGAGGGCTTCCCTGGCCATCCATCCAAAACAACCTTCTCCTGTTTTTTTCCCCATTTCCATGCTTTTCTGAAAGGCATTCAGTGTAACCTAACACGATAGTAAGTATTTATCTATTTGCTTATTTACTTGTAACTTTCTTCCCACTAGACTGTGAGAGAGAGCAGGGACCATGTCTGTCTTGTACACAGCTGAACCTGAATGCCCTCTGGGCTTGGTCCATACTTAGTGAATGAAAGAGGGAATGGATACAGAATGAGAGAATTCTTGATCTCAAGTGGGCCAGTCTCACCCCATCACCACCACTGACCCTGTCCACGGGCCTTGCTTCTCCAAACTCTGTGTTCTTCCATTTTCCCTGGGGTGCCCCGATTCTTGAACCCCATCTGTAAAGCTTCCAGATGAGCAGCCTGAGGAGCAGTTCGGCTGAAGGAAATAGAGACTTACAAAAACTTCAGGGAAATAGGGAGCTCAGGAATCTGACCTGTCGTAATCTCCCTTATCTGCCCAAATCCCCCTGCTCCCCGAAAAGCCTGCCAAAAGTAACCAACCGACTCCTCCCGTGACCTGGTCCTGCTAAACCCTATAAAACGCAGGCACTTGGAGCCCCCCGCCATTTTCCCTTTTGAAAACATGCTCCTCTGTGGCTTAATAAAGCATTGCTGATCCCTTGAGTCCTTTCTGGGTTTCTTCTTCTTTGTGTTCTCTCTCATGTGCTTTCTCAGGTGTGCTGACCACACTCGGGATGCTAGGCTGACGGCCATGGCGCTCCTCTGTGAGACGTACTTCCCATGACATAAAGCTCTTTCCACTGAGAAGCCCTCCATTTTCAGTCTGTCCTGATCTTGCTTGCTTGGTCCCTTCTACTACTCATGTCTCTCCCCAGTTATGAAAAATTCCCACAGAGCCATTCATTCCCCCGATACCTTCATAGGCCGGGAGGCCATGGTGGGGTCCCCCAGGCTGTGGACCACTGAAATGTGTCCCCCAGTGGCAGCCCTGATCTCAGTTCGTGCTGCAAGGCAGGCCTAGATGAAAAGCCATAATTCCGTCCCTACAGAGCTCACGTCTAGTGGTTAAAAAAAAGAGTTATAAACAAAGGTAACCCGGCGTGAAAACTGCCATGCCAGAGGAGTGCGAGGAGGTCTCGCAAACACACAGGAGGGATCTAACTCAGAGTGAGGGAGGGCTTCTCAGTGGAAAGAGAGTTCTAGCCCACGGCCTAGAACTTCAACCAGTGGGACCCTGTCGTCTTGCACACCATTAATTACTCTCTCTCTCTCTATCTGGGTGTCACTGGGGTGCCAAAGTGAGAAGGGTGAAAGTCCCAGGAGCGAGGAGAATTTTATCTTGGAAGTTGCTGGAATTGCTGGTTCATGATAACGTAAAGCAGACCAGCTTTGGGGCGGTTTTGTGATGGCTTTAACCCCTTGGCTCCACACAGTTTTGCCTGCGGTTGCTTGTGGCCTGCATCTCACAGAGCTTGGGTCCCCTGTTCCACAGCATCGTCCTGTCTGAGCGGAGCTGATCCCAGGGAATAGCAGGAGAGGAGTGGGAAGGGAGGTGGGCAGGGAAGGGGGTGCAGGACCTGTCAGTCATCTCCGCGGGCAGCTGGGTCTCACTGCTTCTGTGGGACAGGTCTCAGAGTTGTCCCAGTTGAGAACATGGGAACTGGGATTTCCTTTTCACTCCTACCTGATCGGTCACAGGTGAGACCTGCTTTCTGGGGTCATGGAGAGTCCTCAGGCAAGAGTCGTAGAATTTAGAGAAAGTAGGCTTGGGTGTTTACAAGTGACTTCAGAGGGGGAGAAGGGCATTGAAGCAGCCTCAGCTGTGGTCCTCCCAACCTCCAACTCAGGGTGGGACAAGCCTTCTAAAGTCTGTGTCCAGCAGCCAGCGGGCAAGAGGCATTAGCCCCGGGCTGAGCTGTGACTCCTGCACCAGCCGGTGGTGTTCGGTCCACCCTGAGTCCCAGGGTCTTTCAAGAATGGGGGCAAATGGGAGGATGTCCTGGGACTAGAAGTGCCCCGGTCCATCCAGCACTTTCTGTGGACTCACCTACATCAGCAAGAATCCCAATCTGCCCTGCGAGTTCTGGGAGCGGCTGAGAGGAGAAGCAGGTGGCCAGTGCCTCCCCCACTGGGCCCCCACCACCTGGGCAGAACAGAGCCCATAGCAGAGACCAGGGCCCCCAGGGAAGGGAAGAACTTTCAGGCGGCAGCCACCAGTTCCTGGTTGCTAAGTGACAGCAATGTGGGTATTCCAAGCTCCTCTGTGTCCCTGGGAACCATGAAGTTGAGCTAAGGGCAGGCCCAGGGCAGGGAGTTGGAGTCACTCACTCACCAGCAAGTTCTTCTCCTTTGGCCAAGTGTCAGCTCCACCACCTCACCTCCTCCGGGACGCTAACTTGACACCCAGAGATACTCGGCATCCTTGGCGCCCAGAGAAAACGACTTTTTAAAACTGTAATTCTAAAGTAATAAGATTATTATTAATTTTGGGAGGGGATATTGAATTGATACTGGGGATTGAACTCAGGGGCACTTAACCACTGAGCCACATCCCCAGCTCTTTTGTGATATTTAGAGATATTTAGAGATCTTGCTGAGTTGCTTAGATCCTCAGTAAGTTGCTGAGGCTGGCTTTGAACTTGCGTTCCTCCTACCCCAGCCTCCGGAGCCACTGGGATTACAGGTGTGCACCGCCGCGCCTGGCTCCACATTCCGCTCTCTATCTCTGTGAATTTGACCTCTCTAGGTATCTCTTTTAAGTGAAATCATCCAGTATCTATCCTTTTTGTGACTGGATTATTTCATTGAGCATGATTCCCTCCAGATCCATCTCTGTTTGCCGAATGTTTCAGAATCCTTCTCTTTCTAAAGGCAGAATAGTATTCCATCATCTGTATATTCTACATTTTGTTTATTCATTCATCCACCCAAATGTAGGCTGCTTCCACCTTTTGGCTATTGTGAACAATGCTGCCGTGAACACGGTTGTACAAATGTCT